TATAGAATAATACACGTTTTATAACGTGTGTGCAATATCGATCGCTGGACTAAACACACGACGCGTAGTAGTATAAAATCGCTGATTAGGTAAATCTGTAATACTTATCTCAGTGGAAATAAATCGGGTTTTACGTTAACTATAACACACTGTTATTTCATCTGAACATCACCTACAACGTCCAAACTTCCACTGCTCCAACAGCTATCTGATGTCACTGTACATTATGGTCCTTCGAGGATAGTAACCAGGTATTTAGTAACTCACTACACCGCTTACGATAGCGAATCGGTTTGTCTGGCCTTCCACAAGCGGATCTCACCAGTCAAATTGAGAAGTCGCACATATCCTAAGGGAGGTGGTGCACTAAATATCAGGCGACTTTAACTTTGAATACATCGCCGCGTCACTACTACGGCCAGCAGCAAAATTTACTACAAAAACAACAAACTACTAAACTACAATTACTACAATTTTACTACTTCTACAACTACTACAAATACCGGGAAAAACCCGTACTACGCGTGTGAGACAAAACAGAATTGTGATTAACTAATTGCAGTTCAGGGGTAAATAACTATATTACAACTCAATATTTTTGTGGCAACTTCTACTTCTGCAACTTATCGCTACTACATTCACTGGGAACTATTACAGGTAAACGTACTTTAACTTAACTAAGCCGTATTACACCGATTAAACAAAAATAACTGAACTAGACAAACTTAACTTACCGTAACCGTTTTTTAAACATGGAACTAATAAAAGAGCAAGTAACTAACTTTGAAAATATCAAAACTATATGCAGTAACTACAGGAAGGATAGCGCCACCAGAAAAACTGTCGACTATCTGGAAAATCGTATCTCTAAACTAGAAAGGGAATTAGTAACATTTTATGAACGACACGAAGTACTTGTAGAAAAAATTGAAGATAAAAGCAGCATAAATTACTTTAACAGCGACATATATGGAAAAACGAAGCAGTTATATGACGCTACAAAGCAAAACATGACGGAACTGTTGGTTGCTCAGAGGCAGCCTACGAAACTAGAATTTGACCTAACTGGGATGATTGTAGAAGAGACGGATGACAAACTTAAAGACCTATTGAACACACAGGAGGCGAACTTTAAGGCATTGGCTAGAGCAATGTCAAAAGTCGACATTGAAGGTTTGAAAGAGAAATGGGAATTCGAAGATCACTTGTCTATTTTGAAATCTAAATGGGAAGCTGTCGACAAACTTCACTGGCAACTGGAAACGGCTTTGAAAGGCTCAAGCTTAAAGACGAATTACGAGAGTAGGTTCGAAGACCTGGAACAAAAATATGACAACTTAAGAAGACTTTTAAACAGCAAAAACTGGTCCAACATCCATTATCAACGTTCGGCTCCCAAAATACAAATACCCGAATCCTCGGGGGATTATATTCAATGGTTATCATTCAAGGATATATTTACGGAAACTGTCCACAACAATCCTGCTATATCAAACTGCCAAAAAATGCAATATTTGAAAACCAAACTAAAGGGCGAGCCTGAACGCCTCGTACAGCATCTTACCATCAGCGCGGAAAATTATATCTCATGTTGGAAAATACTAGCACATCGATACGACAATCGCCGGCTTCAATTTAGTTCTTTAATGAACACTATGCAGCAAATACCAGTAATACAATATCCGAATAGCTACAATTTAAAAAGATTACACGATGTTATCAGCGAAAGTCAAAACGGACTATCAAACATGGGAATTGATGTCTCTAACTGGGGGCCTATCATTGTTCACTATATGTCTCAAAAACTCGACACTGCAACTTTCAAGGAATATACCCAAGACTTGAAGGATACTAGGGATTTACCGGATATAAGAGAATTTCTGTCATTTTTAGAAAACAAATTTATTGCTTTAGAGACTGTGAAGAAATGCCAAAAGGAATCTTCTAACTTACAAAAACAAAATCCAACTTCTACATTTAACAGAAATATTCAGAAGACTTATAATAGAAATATTCCTATGAAAACGTACAACTATACGAACAACAATCAAAAATCAACCTTATTAGAATAGAGACCATTCAAAAATATTTCACACTTCCTTTGGAAAATGTCCACTATGTGAAAAAGATCACGTATTGATGCAATGCGATAGATTTATTGCGAAAGACACTGTACAGCGTAACAACCTAGTTGCGAAACTTAACATATGCAAAAATTGTTTATACAGTCACGGAAACGCTAGTTGTACGTCACAAAAAACATGCAAACTATGCCATTTAAATCATCATACATTATTGCACATTAATGAACTGACCTCAAAAAATAATATTGAACAGAGACCGTCAACTTCTAAGCAACAAAATTCCCATCATCTCTCGGCCGACATAGAAGTTTTACTGACTACGGTGCAAATCAAAGTCCAAACCATTGAGGGAACTTATATAACACTTAGAGCTTTACTAGATCAAGACTCACAAACCAATTTGATAACGGAGGAAGCTGCCCAGCGGCTGCGACAACCACGCACCAAGCACAACGCACTTATAACTGGTATAGGGTCAACTACACGGGATAGCAAAGGACGCATGAGCCTAACTTGTCGGTCTATACATTCGGACTTTACATTTACTATTGATACTTTAATACTAAATCGCCTCACTAATAACTTACCAACACAAACTTTCAAGAAAATGAACTGGACACACATTGAAAACTTGAAACTTGCAGATCCTGAGTATAATATCTCAAGCTCAATCGACTTGCTATTGGGAGCTGATGTGTATGCCGACATCATACTTGATGGAGTTTTCAAGAGCGACGGCCACGCACCCATCGCCCAGCACACTAAACTGGGATGGATTTTATGTGGGAAGCTCAAAACCATTAATTGTCACGTATCAATCGTAGACTTATCGGAAATATCAAAGTACTGGGAATCTGAGGACATATGTCAAGGACCCGAAGATGTCAGCCAAGAGGATGAGTGTGAGGTCTTGTACCAAAAAACTACCAGAAGAACTTCTGATGGTAAATTCGTTGTCCAGATGCCAATGATAGACAATTTCGAAGAAAGACTTGGAAAATCCCGACCAATAGCTACTTCACAATTTTTACAGCTGGAAAAACGTTTAGAAAGAAATGAAAGGTTGTCCCAGATGTACAAGGATTTTATAAACGAATACTGTGAACTACAACATATGAAAATAATACCACGACCCATATCTTTCAACAAAAACAGGTTACCAACATGTTATCTCCCCCACCACGGAGTCCTACGAGAGAGCTCTACTACTACTAAACTAAGGGTAGTTTTTAACGCGTCACAAAAAACTTCCACGGGAAGCAGCCTCAATAGTTTAATGAAAAAGGGTCCAAATTTACAGAAGGATATGTTAACAATTATATTAAAATGGCGGACATATAAATATGCATTCACAGCAGACATTGAAAAAATGTTTAGATGTATATGGCTCGATGAAACTAAACATAACCTAATGAAAATAATTTGGCGTAACGCCCCGACAGAAGAGCTGCAAGAGTACGCCTGTACTGTAACATACGGTACAAAATGCGCACCGTAGTTAGCTTTACGGACACTAAAACAGCTAGCAATAGAGGACGAATACAAATATCCCGCAGCAGCCAAAATATTAAGAAACAAATTTTTTGCTGACGATTTGACTAGTGGACACAATATCTTGGAACTCGCAAAACAATTACAAACTGAACTTATCGCGCTGCTTAAAGGAGGAGGTATGAACCTACGTAAATGGTCGAGTAATACTCAGGAGTTATTACAACACTTAAATCAAGATCAAATCACTCAATCCAGGTATGACTTTAAGCATGAAGATACGAAGAAAACCCTTGGGCTCGGATGGAACCCTAACTCGGACATGTTCACGTTCACGTGGAATTTTGAAAACTCAGATAAAACTATCACTAAACGATTTCTACTATCCCAGATATCACAACTCTACGATCCACTAGGGTGGTTTTCGCCCGTAACTATTAGTAGTTATAGTTACGGGCGAAAACCACCCTAGTGGATCGTAGTTAGCTTATGTTCCAACAAATATGGAAAGAAAAAATAAGTTGGGATGAACCGTTACCTGAAGAGATACAAAGTAGCTGGTTAAAATTAAAAGCTGAACTCTCACTTTTGAAAACAATTACAATAAATAGGTGGATTGGAAGTACCGAAATGAACGTGGAACTACTTGGATTTTGCGACGCAAGCGAGAAAGCTTACACATGCGTCATATATTTACGCGCAAAAAATGAGGAGGGACAGTATACCATAACCTTATTAACCGCAAAAACTAGAGTCGCACCTCTAGCGCAAAAAATAACTTTACCCAGATTGGAGTTATGTGGGGCACTCCTACTTGCTCAGTTGATTTCAAAGGTCCAAGAAAGCTTGAAGGAGCACAACATTACTGTATGGGCGTGGTGTGACTCCAAAGTAGTCCTGGATTCAAGGAGAGACTACTAAATGGGAGAGATATGTCGCAAATAGAGTTGCGAAAATTAAACAAATAATACCGGCGTCACAATGGACTTATATTGATACGAAATCTAATCCCGCGGACTGCGCAATGCGAGGACTATATCCAAGCAAACTTTTAAACTTTGAACTGTGGTGGAAAGGTCCGGCTATTTTGACTACCTTTAGAGGGAAACAAAATCTCAACACAAACTGTCTATTTACTACAAACATTGATAAAAAACAAGAAATTTTTATCAGAAACAAAGGTGACAATGACAATTTAATTTATAACTTACTAAACAAATATAGCTCTCTGACCCGCGCGAAAAGGGTATTGGCCTGGATTATGCGCTTCATTATTATGACGCGAAGAAAGGCAATGACCGACTAGAAAATGACATACTAGAGAAGAACGAGGCGAATATAAAGCGTCAATTTACATTAATTAATACCTTTATGAACCAAACTGAAATAAAACTCAGCAAAATCGAGACTGCAATCGACCACACTATGGCAGCAAGCTATTTCGGTTCGACATCATTTACCGCGTATTTACTTCTCACCAACTTAAAAAACATACAGGAGATGCTTTTCAGTGCCCTAACCGACGTATATCAAGGACACATTGATGTACATTTGCTTACGCCAGTGAATGTGATTAAGCAACTAAATATGATTTCTGGCAGATTACCAAAAACTTTATCATTACCTATAGATAACTTAGAACTAAACATTAAAAATTTATACAAACTTATTTACGCAAAGGCTCGAATTACTGGCGAGTACTTTTTGCTTGAAGTGCACATTCCATTGGCGAGTCACGAAGACTACTCCTTATATCACATCATACCTTTACCCTTAAAAACAACAAAGTACATGGCAGTTAACTTCGGAAAAAATACATACGTCAGCATAACAGAAGAAAGATTAGCGAACTGCAACGAACTCAGCAGCCAGCATTGGATCTGTAACTTAAACTTACCGGTTCAACACATAGAAAATACCAATGCACCTTGTGAAAGGAAGTTATTAAGTCAACAAACGAGTTCGCCCTGTAATACAAGAAATATCATATGTGAAGAACGCTGGATAGAATTACATACACAAAACACTTGGATAGCGTTATGTTGTGACTCATGCACGTTACGCACCATATGCGATAAAGACGTCACAACTCACGTTATCAGTACATCTTCTATTGTGGTATTAAAACAAGGATGTCTTCTCCAAACGAAAACCTTCCTAATACACTCTCGCAACAACTACAACAGCAAAGTGAAACTAGAACTTGACATCCAGATTCCACTCCTGAATACGTCACTCAACGCAATAATCAGCACACAAAAAACTCCGCCGTTACAACTGTTTGAAGACAGGAACATCGATATCGTCAAGAAAAAACTTGAACACATCAAAAATCACGAACAGCTTATTATGACAATCACGGCGACCGACCTTCACCAATTCACCATTTGCTATTTACTCCTAGCATCTGCTATTATTGCATTAATAGTTTGGCTAGTCAAGAAAAAGGGTTACTGTGCCAGACGAGTGAAGGTTAGCCCCGCTAAGAAAGGTACGCAACCATATGAGGATATCGAGCTACAGCCCTATCAGTCTAGACCTATTCAGCATATCTTTCGGTCATATTCGGTGGCGGAAGGCAGGACCAAGACTAGGCTCCAACCAGGAACGTCAGCAGTGAGACCAGCAACTCAAGCCAAGCAGTGTTCATCGACAGACTTTACCAACAATGACGTGCAATTTAATTTTGAGTAGCTAAACTATATATACCTATATAACTTTATATAACACACTTTATTACCTAATTATACTTAGTTTTTAGTTATTATACAAAGATGTTATTAACTACTCCTCATTACTTTTAACTATGTTCTCAAACTGTAACTATGTAACAGCGATTTTATCCTGCTGCCTGAGAACTTCTTTTCGGGGTCTGGAATATGTACGAGCTCGTACATGATTTGATGACTCTACACTTAACAAAGTATATATATAGAATAATACACGTTTTATAACGTGTGTGCAATATCGATCGCTGGACTAAACACACGACGCGTAGTAGTATAAAATCGCTGATTAGGTAAATCTGTAATACTTATCTCAGTGGAAATAAATCGGGTTTTACGTTAACTATAACACACTGTTATTTCATCTGAACATCACCTACAACGTCCAAACTTCCACTGCTCCAACAGCTATCTGATGTCACTGTACAGGTTCAATGAGGTAAGTTTACTTTTATTATCCACCATTTTCCTTTTCTTAATGTCTTTGATTTCTTGCATAAAACTCCTTGCTTGACATTGTTTGATACAAATGTGAAGAGCGCCGTTTAGTTCAGCGCTAGTTAACCATGTTGGTACTCCAGTTGTTTGTATTTTTCTGGAATGCATAATGAATCTCATGGAATAAGCTAACACCCTCATCATTCTCAGTAGTGAAGAAAATCTGAGACACAAATCAAACTCTTCGATTTCAATTAAATTGAATACCTTTTTCCTTTCTTCTAAGTGAGTCTCAGAAGTACAACCACTGACAAAATTAAAACTTTTATTTTGCAACCATAATGGGCCTTCTTTCCACAGCTGCATAGCTGACAGTTCTGATAGCTTTACGCCCCGCGAAGCACAGTCTGCTGGGTTATCAGCCGAAACTACGTGTGCCCACTGATTCCTGTCTAAGATATTTAGAATTTCTGATACCCGGTTTGCTATAAATGTTTTCCACCAACTTGGGTGGCTACTCAGCCAAGCCAGTACTACTGTTGAATCTGTCCAAGCTCGAATATTCATCTTAGAGATATTCAAGACCAGTGATACTTCGTGCAACAATTTAGCCAATAAAACAGCTCGACACAACTCAAGTCTAGGGATTGAAACTTGTTTTATGGGTGCTACTCTAGTTTTGGATGTTATTAGATGTACATGAACATTGAACTTAACTAGAATTCAAGCAGATATATATAAGCAAATTGAAAGAGGTTTCCTGAATTTTAAGAAATCTCCTAAGGACAGACTCACTTTTAGTTATTTGGAAACACGGTTAGAATGTCTGGAAAAACAATGGTTGACGTTTGAACAGACATCTAAAATTAATTACGGAACACAAAAGGGACGAGTTTGAAGCGTCTGAATACAGTGTAAAGGGTGCCTATGGTGAAACTGAAGACTTGTACACTGATTACAAAATAGCATTAAAGGAGTGTTTGCTTAAATCAAATCAAATCAAATCAAATTTATTTTTGCAGAAAACACTGTTACAATGGTTTTATAAATACATAGTTATGTTTCAAGTGATTCTACCTTAAGGCATGCAAAATATATACAATTATTACTTACTAAAATTAAAATCGACATATTTAAATCAAATTAGATTACAGCATTTAAGTATTAAAAATGAATGTAATGTCCTTATTAAAATTACAATGATAAATATTAGTTATTTATTTAATAATAATTAAATTAGTTCTATGTCACTCACTGAATTATTATGTATTAACAAATTAATTACATTCAAAAGACACACAAAAGGTCTCAGGATTGGAAAGATCATCGTTCAGATAGTCATTCAACTTATAATAACACTTATTAACTAAAAGGGTCTTTAAATGTTTCTTAAATAAAGTAGTATTCATTGCCCTTATTTCTTTAGGTAATTTATTGAAAATTACCGGAGCCATGTGAAACACACTTTTGTGCATTAAAGTGGTATAGGTTCGGCGCATACAGAGGCGAAATTGGTCACGTTGTCGCCTATTATAGACTTCTGAGGCTAATGTAAATAACTTTTGATTTACCTTAACAAATATTGAGACCTCATAAATATACAGGCTTGGAAGAGTTAGAATTTTGTACTCTTTGAAGAATGGTTTACAGGTTTCGATTATTTGAAGCCCAAACATAGCCCTTATGCACCGTTTTTGTGCCTTAAAAATTAAATCAATGTCTGTCGAATTTCCCCAAAAAACCACACCATACCTCAGGACTGAAGCAACTAGACCATGATATGCAGTTAACAAGGTACTAACACTTGAAATTTGTTTTAATTCATGTAGCGCGTACACTGATTTATTAATTTTTTTGCACAGTTCTTCAATCTGTGGTTTCCATTTCAATTTATTATCCAAAGTCAGGCCAAGAAATTTTGTGGTTTGCACTTCAGAAATAGGTTCACCCCTATAATTAATCTGAGGCATAATTGCATTCACACGCTGATTAAAATGGATAATTTTAGTCTTTCCTATGTTTACTTTCAGATTATTAACGTCCAGCCATTTGATGATTTCATTAAGGGTACTGCTTATATCATGCTCATACGATGTTCTGTCATTGCACCTAATTGCAACGGTGCTGTCGTCAGCAAAGAGTGTCATTGGGTTTGAATTCGCATTTGGAAGGTCATTAATGTATATTATAAAAAGTAATGGACCCAATACACTTCCTTGCGGGACGCCATATTGTATTTTACGTCCGTTTGATAAGTATGTATCCTCCATCTTAGTTCTAATATTAACTCTGTTAATTACTGTGTATTGAGAGCGGTTCCTGAGGTAACATGCAATTAATTTTAAAATGTTGCCTCTTATGCCATATGTCTCAAGCTTATTTAATAAGATGTCATGTACCACGTAATCAAAAGCTTGCGTCATATCCATAAAGATGGCGCAGATCGGTATTCGCTTATCAACGTTGGACGTTACAATTTCTAGAAGTTCATATATAGCAAGATTGATACTTTTGTTCTGTCGAAAACCCTTTTGCTCCTTAGCTAAAATGTTATGGCTTTCGAAATATTTAACCAATTCATTATAAATATATTTTTCAAATATTTTTGAGAAGATTGATATTAGGGCAATAGGTCTATAATTATTCATGTTGTCTTTACTCTCTTTTTTGTGAATCGGTTTAATGATTGCAACTTTTAATTTTTCAGGGTATACACCCGTTTCTATAGACAAGTTTAGAATATAACCAAGAGGTTGGGCAATGCACTCTGTTACTAGCTTAATGGCTTTAGTGCAGATGCCGTCATAACCCACACTATTGGTGTTTTTTACACCTTTTATGATTTGTTTTATATCGTCTGGCAGACACGGTTTCATAAATATTGAGTTAAGTCTAGATGTGAGGTATTGCTTATGCTGATTTTTATGTGCAGCATTAAAAGGCGTTATCTTATCAACAAAAAAATTATTAAATGCATTTGATATGTCATATGGATTTGTCAAGATTTCATTATTTAATTTAATACATTGGATAGATTCCAATGGTCTATTTTGATTTGCAGCATTTATAGTTTGCCATACAGCTTTTGTTTTGTTACTTGAATTTATAATATTGTAATTGTTTTGCGCTCGTTGGGTCAAATACACTATCTTTCTTAGTCTTTTGGTATACTGCGTCAGCTCCGATTTGTTATCTATACTTGGGAATTTTCTGTATTTCCACAGTAGTTCACGTTTTTTAGCACTACAAGTCTTAATACCCCGTGATACCCACTTGGGTTTTTTGTGGATGTGCCTAGTTATAGTTTTATGGGGAAAACAAAGGTCATAAAATAACTTAAATGTATCGATGAAAATACTATATGCTATGTTTGGCTCACAAGCGCTGTACACATCTGAAAAAGTCATTTGACCGATACAGTACCTGAATTTTGCCTGATTCTCCATACTAAAATCCCGTCGCCTGATTTTCCAGTACTTAATTACACATATATTTCTTACTTGACATCTTAACAATTGTGCGGTGTGGTCAGATAATGCAAGCTCAATTACCTCTGATTTACACTTTTTTCCAAAGTTATGAGCGAAATTGTCAATACATGTTTTGCTTACAAGCCTGGTAGGTTCTTTTAATTGCAATTTCAAGTTATAGTTTAGTAATAAACATTCGAATTCGGTTGCTAACTTATTCTTATTCAAAATATTGATGTTAAAATCTCCAGCTATGACAATATTGTGCTTATGATAGTGCTTACAAAGAAGAATTAGGACCCTGTTCAATTTATCAAAAAAAAAAATCTAAGTTACTAGCTAAGGGTACTCTATAGACACAGACAATAACAATTTTGTAGTCTGTCAGCTCAATGGCACTACACTCAAAAGCTGAAGAAACTGAACAGCTTGTCAGTGTTGATATTTCTTTGCAATTTTGCCCTTTCTTAACAAAAATACAAGACCCACCTCTCCTTGCATTAGTTCTAGAGTAACATGATACCAAGTTGTAGTTAGGAATCAGACAGGATTCCTCATACCCAGACATCATAAAATGCTCGGTGAGACAAATAACATCAACATCTGTTTGTTTTTCTAGTAGTTCCTGTAAACAGACTGTTAGTATATGCGATTTTGTCCGCAGCCCAGCTATATTTTGGTGAAGAATATTTAGATATTTAGGGGCGAAAAAGCGATTTAGATTCCGGGAATACCTCACCTGAGAGCTTCTCTTTTACATTGTTTGCATTTTCTTGTTCAATTGCCAACATCAAGTCATGCAGGTCACCAAATACAACCCTCATACCACGATTCTTTAAGGATCCAGAGCGTGTATA